ACTGGGAAGATTCGCTAGGTCGAATTGATGATTCTGCCATACGATTGAGAGCTGATTCAACTTTGGAGAAGAGTATATCTCTAGACAATACTTCAGAAACATGTTAACCAGAAGTCAAAGGGATAGATAAAATAGCGTCGCTGTTAAACAATCAGTCTGTTAAGTCTGGGATGAATCTCTCCGATGATGAGTAAGTTTGACGTAGTAATGGGCTCGGAAGGGAACACAAAGGGATGTGATCTAGGAGAGTCAGTGTATTTTTAGAAGATATGGAATGGAAATGTAACTTATATTTTCAATCTACAAACCTAAAATCTCTAGTAAGTAAAAGTTTCCCTTTCAGTGGACAAGTCCGCGATCATACCGGGATGCATTCATCATACAACCTATCCAAAAAGTAAAGGAAAGTTTTCGAGGCAACTTCTGATAACAACTTCTGATGAAACTGTTTGTTACGTTTAGATGTAGGAGAATTAACAGTCACTTTAGAATTGAGGGATATTTCAGCTAAATGTTTTCTTAGCTCATCTGTAGCGTAGTGCTTCGTTAATCGATCGTCTTGATAACCGTTATTATAACAATCTGAACGGTGTATAATATCAGAAGACAAAGGGAAGCAGCAACTACATTTTTATTGATAACTAACATGGGCTAGAAGGCAGTGAGCACATTAGCAAATGTAAGCAAGCGAAGGAAAGATGACGCAGAGTGGAGATGGCTGGGAAGCCAACTCGTTATAAGCAAGCATTAATCAACATTTATAGTCAGACTAAAATGAATGACGGACATGTGATAGGTAGGATAAGAAGTGTGCATACACATACGCTCATATAAAAAATAGTCAAGGTCACTAAGGGAATAATTAACAAGATCAAAATATGACTCATAACGTTACAGGTGAATTGGCTTGTCCAGAAACTAGAATAAGCTATGTAGGTGTAATATAGTACACGACGTTACACTACTCCCCACACATCCAATATCAGCGAAGCTATCCGTGGGGTTTTTGTTTCTTCTTTCATATCTATGATTTCTACTTCTTCATCAAAACTTCCGTCAAGTAATTAGTCCACCTATAGTATTCGGATTGTAGTTCTTACTTGATATTGCGAAACAGATGCAGTCCCAAAGTCAGCAAAAATAGGGGGTATTTTCAGGCCAAGCTAGTAGCTAAAATAAAAGCTGATCACAACTTTATCTATCGATTCATGACCGGGAGAAAGACTACAAACCAGGGGATCTTTGTCGTCAAATGTCCAATTGACAAAGGTCTTACTCACTTAGATATGGAATGGACCTCTAATGCCAATTTCATAAACCAACCAAATCAGCAGACTGCATGTGCTCAACATCTCTCCACTATACTGACATTTGAGGGTCTGGGAGGCATCCAACTAACTCCTAACTTAGAATTAAAGAGACTGAAATCCCTTCTCCTAGGAAAGTCACCTTGATGTGATAACATCTGCCTTGTAATCCTTCAATAGTGCGTAGAAGACATCAGCATACCAGTATTGGGCCAATTCAGGCACTAACTAGATTCATGCCAACTGCTAAGAGAATGAAAGCAGGCCACTCTCTCTCCAGTCTTCAAAGAGCGAGGTAGAATAACCCCAGCCTGTTACACACCAGTCGCATGACTCGTAATGCTGGCGAAGGTAATGGAAGGAATGGTGAATGAACAACTGAGGGACAAAAACGAAATCCCCTATGAAGCCCAACATGGATTCAAAAAAGACAGAATGGGTAAAAACGCAACCTATCACAAATTTGCGTGATGACCGCTTGTCTCCCTTGATACAAAGCAATTACATAAATCATCAAAATCCGCTCCCGATTCTTTCTTCAAAGCGTAATATCAAGCTTGCAAACACAGAGAGCCTAGACGCCAGCTCAAACCACATATGGATGCAGCCAAAGCAAACGCACTTCTCAACTTTGTGCGGAGGCAACTAGGAGTAATCACCTAAATCAAATTAATAGAACATCCTCACGGCAACTCCTGAGGCAACCCTCGAGATGTTGTACAACGAAAAGTAAACACCCAGGTGCTATCTTATATTTTCTAACCAAGATTTGCTTCTCATTTGAATGCTCTCCCAGTCGAAATGACTAGAGCCCCATCAATGGATAGCCTCAAGAGAAGACCTGACAAGCTCGTACTTACCCGTTCATTATCATCTTCGCCCTAGATCAACTGTGCCTGATGCATGTCTTGTAAGTTACCATGACAATCATTACCGCATATCTGTAACTACTTCCTAAGTCTCTCATTGACATCTCCTTTTGCCCTCCTACTCATTTACTTACATCTTCTTACGCTGTTTACATTACCAGTTAGATGGTTCATTTATTTATTTGCCGACTTGTTTATTTGTTATTTTTTGAAGCAATAGTCTATTAGCACTCGAATTATCACTCTATTATTTATCATATTGCAATCAAACAAACTCCCGACTGATAATTTAATAGTTGTTATTATTCAGAAATCCTGCTACTCTAAGACGAACTCACTTAAGCTAAAAAATTTACAAAACCATACAGACTACTAAACGGACTAGAATTTGTGCAGTCAGGTGAATCGACTATCACCAATCGGACATTGTCAAATACCTGAAACCATATCGAAACAACACGAGGCGAGCGCAAATAAATCATTCGGTTTATGCAAACTCGTGACATAGATATCATATTTTGGAGATAGCGGATATAAGACAGAGTTAAGAACTGGAAAGCTAAACGGCGAAACGAACCTTACGATTAAGGGTTTTCGGGTAGTCAGGTCTAGGAAGCCCCACTGGTGAATAGTGACCATGTCGTACTTTCCTTTAAGTTCCGGATACATGGTATAAAACTTGCATCTGCTCCACCCCGTTCTAATATCTGGAAAGCTAATATTCCGGCAATCAGAGACTGTGCTATCTCGATTGACTGGTTGGTCGATGCTGACGGATCGGTCGAAGATGCATGGAATAGGTTTAAGGCTACGTTGGAATCCGTAACCCAACCGTTTATCCTATGGTCAGCACGTAAGCTATCACACTGCCCTCCATGGATTAATAAGGAAACCCGGAAGTTGTTAAAGCGTAGGAAACACTTCTGGGACTTATTCTTGTCAACAGGACAGGCATCATTTAAATGCGAATATAAAAAATCCGGAATATATGTAAAAAGACCATAGGTAAATCCCGTACCACTTACGAACGACAGTTGGCATACGATAGCCGTACCTGTCCGAAGCGACTGTTTTCGTACGTTAAAAGGCGGACAAAACGTAGTGATGGTATCCCCGCGTTGCTGTTAAACGAAAGTTCAGATTTAGTAGCTGAACCTGATCTGGCAAAAGCTGAGGCATTTGCAAACTATTTCAGTGAAGTCTACTCTACGTGTAGTGCTACAACTACTTGTCTCAATTACACCGAGATACCAGCCATAGGATCTATACATGTGACTGAGGAAACTGTTCTTCCATTGATAACTAACCTCAAACCTTGTAAGATACCAGGCCCCGATGGGTTATATCCACACTTGATGTCATTACTCGAGGACATTATTTCAAGACCTCTCGTGACGCTCCTCAACATGTCTCTTTCATTCACTCAAGTACCTAGAGACTGGAAAGACGCTATAGTTATTCCTATATTTAAGGATGGTCAGAGACGGATCGTATCTAACTAACGGCCTGTCAGCCTGTCCAGCATAGTCGTTAAGTTACTTGAAAAATGAATTCGGGCTAAGCTACTGAGTCACATAGATTCATATAATCTGTTAACTCCTGAGCAACATGGGTTTCGTAACAAGCGTTCATGCTTAACTAACTTACTCATTGCAAGAGAGGATTGGACAGCTGCTCTAGACAACGGCCTGTCTGTCGAAATGATATTCATAGATTTTAGCAAAGTGTTTGACAAGGTTTCACATTTAGGTCATATGCAGAAGCTCTCGAGCTTTGGAATAACAGGAATGGATAGGAAACTTTTTATGTGACCGCAGACAGAGAGTGAGGGTCAATGAAACACTATCCAAATGGAAGCCAGTCAAAAGTGGTGTACCCCGTGGCACCATCTTAGGCCCCTTACTTCTCCGTATGTTAATGAATTACCTCTATTACTTAGGTCGTCGACATTATTGTTTGCGGATGATGTTGAAATCTAGAGAACAATAAGAAGTGAGGCTGATCGTTGTCCCCTCCAAGCTGATTTAGACGAATTAGTTAGATGGGTTCATGATTGGGGCTTGGAAGTTAATCCCAGGAAGAGAGTGCTCATGCACATCGGCACAGCAATAGTTACCATTACATCATTAATGGTACGACGCTTCTACGTGTTCAATAACATAAAGACTTAGAAGTAACTATAAGTCACGACTTGAAAACTACTACGCACTCCAACGCGGCTGCTTCCAAAGGTTATCGTGCTCTATGGTCACTTCGCCGAGTATTTAAATGCTTTGACGATGTGTTCTGAATTTTATGTCCCACCTATGTAAGGCCACACTTAGAGTACTGTATCTAAGCAGCTAGCCCATATCTGATAAAGGATACTAAATCGCTTGAGCGTGTCCAGCGTGTGGGGACAAAATTAGTGAAGGGTCTATCTAAACTCCCTTACGATGAGCGTTTGAAATGTCTAAACCTTTTCCCCTCATCTTATCGTAGGACACGAGGTGACCTTATACTGACATTTCGTATTTTTAATTTTGATTTGGGTGTTAATATATCTTATCTTTTTGTTCCCTCCAGTACTAATAACCTCCGAGGTAATAGCAAGAAGGTTCAGAAACCGCGATCTAATAAGCTAAAGTTGGGGTCCCGTTTTTCTCATCGAGTGGTCAATGACTGGAACACATTACCCGAACAAGTGGTATCAGCCCCATCAGTGAACATTTTCAAGGAGAAGCTGGACCTTCACTGGAAGGCAATCTGTCAGGATTAACACAGGTTCATCAACCTACTATCCTTATTACTGAAGATTGAAAGTGATCATTTTCGAATATTCAAGGTCAGAGTAAGCAATGTGATATTCAGTCGTCGGTTATCTTGCATATAGCCTGAAGGTATCTTGTGTGCTTGGAGAGTACGAGAATCAGCACATTTGAGTTAATCTATAGTGGGAAGCAAAATGGAAACAATTTACATCAATCGGCAATAACACAAACGTAAGGTTAAGAGAGTCTGAGAATCGAAAAGAAGTTTGACATCGCATGGCCTCAAGTGGTTTTAGGTAGTCACCAACCGTATACCTTTTGATTGATGCTCAGCAACTGAAATAACTATCCCTTGTAGATATGCTCCTGCTTGTTTTCTAAAACTGTGTAGAACATTTTAGCATGATTGTTGAGCTTTCCAGTCTTAAGTAAATCGGGAGTCAAGGCGCAATTTCCCTATTTTTGAAGAAAATTTTGGGGATTTCATCAAACTTTGGGGAAAACTTAGAAATCGGGAGACTGGGGGTGGCTCCACCTCAGTGAAAACCTTGAACATCAATGAGTCTATAGGTAAAAAGTATATTGGAAAGTCCGGACGACAGTGTGTTTCTTTATAAACCATATCTGCAAAATAGTAACGGGTGAAACTATTAGTCCTGACAAGGCTGATCTGTTTGAGTGGAACCAATATCCAAAGGTTTGGTATCTCGGTTTATCTGAATAACAGCTCCGGACTACCAATTGAAAAGACTATATCTTATGGGCAGATCAACGAAATCAAATACACAAAGTCTTTGATTTTTATATGGTGGGATGAAAAGGCGAAATCAGACCCCGACTTGTGGTTTTTGGTGAACATTATTGTGTTTTATTCAATATGATGACTATTCAGAGTAATATTTCCTCTTTATTGTAGTATTGTATCCGTTAAGACAATAATTCGAGTGTAGTGTTTAATAATAAACTTTTTTGTGTCCCAATGAGTGGAAAATTGTTTCCGACATTCCGTGACTTATGTAAGCTACTTCTGAATAAATAAATAACTGATGTCTATTCCAGGTGCGATATCCTCGTATTAAATTAACGTGGACTATGATCAGCATGACATGCAGCATGCGATTTTTTATAACCCTTGGTATTTTCCATATGTCTGATTTTATTCTAATTAATAAGTGAAATAGGTGTATAATCAATATATAATGAGTGTATTTTTAACTAGGTTCGTCGTTGTGTTTTGGGGTCAATAAATGTTCACTTGTACCAGTCTTAGTGTTCTTACTTCGCTCCATGGGAATTGCAGTGATTTGCCTTTTTCAAGTATAACTAATAAGCGAAGCAGATACAACAGATTTTGATGCTTAATTTATCTATACTTATATGCAAATAGCATCCCGGCATTATAGCTGTTGTCGATTTGTGATGAAAACTCTTACTTTAATTCTTAGCCCTAAACCCTAACTTTAAATCATAATCCTAATTACCCTTAACAATTTATAACCCCTTTCTGACCTCACCAAAGCGTTTTGTGTTAAGGTCACTTTAGCGTCTCTCAAAGTTCTTCCATAAATTGCAGCTTCATTCTATTATCCTCAAAGGCATCTAAAGTTCAGCCACTTAAGTGTACTGCCCTTGTCATTTGGGATCATTTGTAGACTCACTAAATTGACTGGTGGCAACCACGCATTTATTCTGTCAGTGGTTAAAGGACAACTAAGCAATAGTTAGTTGGGTCGACATACTTTTTACTGTTGGCTTTATCTGAGATTGGGTCAGTGATTCGTTATTCTCAGCGATCCTTCCACTACTGACCGTCTCCTCAACCTTATCCCGATATTACTTATAGCCTATACGTGTGCCATCTACCTTGCTTTTATCCCCTAATGACACTCATGATTTCTTCCTAGGCCTTATGTTGATGCCCGTTACCCCAACCATTTATCTTGTCCAGACCTGGTTGGAGTAGATTTCTAAACATTTAGTGTTTTCGTAGTAGCTGCGTCAACCCAGTGATCTCTACTATCATCCAGCTAAAAAATATCACGATCCAGCCCGTACTCAACACCTGGTTTGTTGGCAAACTGATTATTTATATATTTAACTTTTTATTGAAACATAAACATTGGTACAAGAAGGCACCAAATATATATGCGCCACGCAAACCATTCGATTTATGAGGGCTGGGATACTACCTGGGTGCCCAAACCGAAGTATGTGGTTTTCTTAAAGGACCACTTTCCGAACCTTTGACCTAGAGGCCTAATCCATAAGGCAGTGGAGCAACGTCAGGAGATCCAGTCCCATGGTAGGCGTTTACCAACAAAATGTTCATACTCCGTTTATTCCCTCAGGATCCCGGGACCCATGTGCACCACTGGTTTGGTGTCAGGGTTTTCCAACTCCCTAGATAGATCCTTCATATTCATTAACCCAGTTAAAACGCCGGACATCAGCTTTTCGTCCTCTCAATCTCATAGACAACACCCACCAGGAGAAGGCAGTGGGTAGAACTTCCCTGACGGTGGCTATATACGTGTTGCCATGTGAGGGCATTTCTAAGGGGAGGGTGGAATCTCCCCACCCTCGACCGTACCAGGGCATTTGAGGTTGATTTTACCTTATATTCTATACGTGTCATTATCTCAGGCTTATCGGACTTCATCTCCTTCAAGTAAAGTTTGTAAAAATTGGTGAGTTTTTGTTGACCATTTTCATTCTGTATGGTATCTCAATACAGCTGTTTTTTGTTCAGGTTTTCTGATGAAAATAGCAGATGTTGAACAGTGCGCCTTTAATTCATGGTATCACATTTTTGAATCGTACACTCAAGAAAGGTACACTATGTAAATGATATCACTGATAAGTTCTCTTACAGTATATTTATAAATCTCCCAGATGACCTTATAGTTTCATTGACAAATGACGAATTCATTCTCCCGAAAAGGTAACTTCCGTATATATATTGTAAATTAGGTCAAGTTTCGATTTGTTTTCTTATCTCTTCTCTACATACCTAATTAATTATATGGTCAAACTAAAACTAATTAGCTAACCATGCCTGTTAAATTTCTTCCACCTTTCTAAATTGACTCTTAATTTGTCTGCCATTTTTTGTGCGGTCCCTGGAGTAAGTTGAAAGCAAAACTACTAGCTGGAAGAATAGATATTTTATACAATAAAATAACTCGCTTATACACAAAAAATAACATGGTGAAATGCGACAGACTATTCGAGGAAATTAGTTTCCAGATCATTCCCTCTTGGGCATCGTATTATACATTTTGTTTATTTTTGAAACAACTAATTCCTTTTCGTCGGGCACTTATCTGTCTGGCGCTCTCGTGTGCTACTGCAACTTGGGCAAACGAGCTAAGACATAAAATTGATCGTACACGTAGGTCAGATTAACAGTTCACTGCCGTAACCAACTTTAATGCATTACAATACCTAACTTCCAATAAATGATTAAACATAACAGAAGCTACTAGATATCATTACGTAGCATTTTGCAACATGAAAATGGTAGGCGACGAAAAAATGACAATATAGCATGAAGCATACAATAATACTATATTATTATTTTTAGTAGGTGAGATTTAGTGTTATGTTGTATATGCATTCTCTCTATAGTTCTAGTAAATTCTGTGTAGAAGGTAAAGTTGCTGCTCTTTATTCTTTAAATTTAGGTTGTTGCACTCTCCATTCGCCAAACATTAGTGTTTAATTATTGACTTAAAATGCCGAGCTTAGCGCGTTTTTGTTACAAACTATAAATATTCCACCTCTTTGAACGTATGTTTTTAGTGCAAAACCAACAAACGGGCATCTGTCGGAACTAGACAATGATGTAAGTCACAAAAACGTTTTCTCATACTACTTATAAAATGCATAATGGCCCAGTTCTCAGACTTTACGTTCCATATGTTGTTCGGTGCCAAAATATTACTTAGTTTGCGTAAATAAACCAGACGAAGTGCATTTGAATCCACGTTTGAATGTTTAGGATCCACGTCGATAAACAATTGGACCTCATCTTTACGATTAATTATATTTTATTCAACTTTAGGCAGGATGAATCATTCTGTAAAGTTGCGTTACGATATGCGTTAACCAGTTTTGAATGTCTGTACAATCATTTACTACGTGGTTTTTGGTCAGCGAATGGTACATCGAACTCCCTATGTGATACATGATTGTTTACCACATAATACCCAGTTTCCTGCCCTCAGTACGCATTCATGACCATTTAAACTTATGTTTATTTAATTTGGTTATTTATTTGCTCTGAAGAAGTTGCTTATATTAAGTCACGAAACGTCATAGATGCAATTCCACCCACTGGGATATGACTACCGATCCCAAGCCCTGGTAAAGGAGTAGGATCGTGCATGGGGTCGACAACCCCATCCTGTAGAAAACAACCTTGCTAAAAACCGCTAACTGGAAGAAAGAAATTAAACCATTTAAAATCTGACTTGAGAGGTGAAGGAAAAATTATGACGCCTCATGATAAAATCCGAGATTCTTCCAAAGTCACGAGGCTGACACTCCTTCTAACAAGCAGAGCAACAATTTATATAGGTAAAAGAATTTCCGGACAATGTGGAAAGCCGGAAGGACCAATCAAATATCAACAGAAAGGAAGATACAACCTGGCAGTACTCTGAATCAGTGAAACCCACTGGACCCAAGCTGGACAGCAAAGGTTAGGTACGGAGGAGATGCTTCAGTACTCTGATCACGAAGAGGAAAATGCTTCACACACTCGGGGGTTGTTCTGATGCTGCCCAAATAAGCACAAAATGCACTTATAGGATGGGGATCTAATGGACCCAGGATCATCAAAGCATCCCTCAAAGCAAAGAAGAAGAGAATCTTATTTATTTATTTATTTAAACACATAAATATTGGTACAAGGAAACACCAAATACTTATGCGCCTCACAAATCCCATTCGATTTGTGTGAGGGCTGTGATACTGCTCAGGTGCCCAGACTGAAGCAGGTGGTTTTCTTAGGGGGCCACACCCGGAGCCTTTGACCTAAAGGTCTAATCCACAAGGCAGTGGAGCATCGTGAGGAGATGCAGTCCCATGGTAGCCGGTGATCAACGACTGATTCATACACCATTTGTTCTTTCAGGATACTGGAGCCCATGTGCACCATTGGTTTAGAATCAGGGTTTTCCAACTCCCCTAGGTGGACTTGCCTTGTCCACCAACCCGGTTAAAGCGCCGGACATTCGCTTTTCGTCTTCTCAATTTTGTAAACGACACCCATGATGCGAGAAGGCAGTGAGTAGGACTTCCCTGGCAGAGGCTATATATTCGCTGGCCATGTGAGAGCATTTCGAGAGAAAGAGAGCGGACTCTCCCCACTCTCGGCCGTACCAGGGCATTTGGGGGCACCCGGGTCGCAACCGTGGGAGGGTTGCATGATACCGCTACATTATCGGCGCAAAGAAGAAGGGAATCACAATGAATGTTATCCAGTGTTATGCGCCCACCAATGATAGCAACGATGACGATAAAGATCAGTTCTAGGAGAAGCTCCAATCAATCATAGTGAAGTGCCTAGGAAAGGACCTGACCATTCTGATAGGAGATCCAAACGCCAAAGTCGAAATGGACAACATTTATGAAGATATCATGGGACTACATGGAGTGGGAGAAAGGAAAGAAAATAGGGAGAGATTTGCAAATTTATGTCCATCCAACAAAATGGTTATAGGAAGCACAATATTCTCACTCAAACGCATACACAAAGCTACATGGATCTCACCAGATCACGCTACAGAGAACCAGATAGATCATATTTGTATCAACAAAAAATTCCGAAGGATAATGGAAGAGGTGAGAATCAGGAGAGGAGCTGACATAGCTTTAGATCACCACCTGGTGGTTTCCAAGATGGAATTGAAGCTAAAGAAACACTGAGCAAATAGCATTACAAAGGTTCAATACAGCCTTCTTTTGGCAAACTAACAAACTCAACGAATTCAAGATAACTCTCAACAACAGGTTCCAAACCTTACAAAATCTACTCAAAGAAGAAACTACTATGGAGGAGGTGCTGGGTGACAAGAAGTATCATCATAAGTAATGGATCTCTATAGAATCCCTGAACAAGGTTCAAGGAAGGGAGAACAAGAAGACAGCAATTAACAATAGTCGAACACGAGCAGAGAAAGTCAAGGCACAAGTTGACTACACACAAGCAAATGAAGAGGAGCATTAGAGCTGACAAGCAGAAATACGTGAAAGAGCTGGAAACGACAGCAGAAAAAGCTGAAAGAGAAGGAAATATGAGACGAGTATATGACTCGATGAAGAAACTGGTAGGGAAATATGGTAAACCAGAGAGACCGGTCAAGGACAAAGAAGGCGAGCCAATCACTGAGGTTCAAGAGCAGAGGAACAGATGGGCGGAACGCTTGAATAGGAGTGATTACTCGCCAAATTTCGAGATCAACAGGCTGGATTCCATGGAACACTTTGAGGAACTTTTGAATGGACCAGCTCTATTGAGTTCACCAGACATCGAAGCAGCACCTACAGACCTTCCTATAGTTGTCACTCCACCGACGATCGAAGGTATCAGGATGGCCATCGGACAAATCAAGATTGAGAAAGCAACAGGATCTGACAATATACGTTGTAGCTGACTGACTGACAATGTACCAGCTGAAAGAATGAAAACAAACATAGAAGCAATAGAAAACATGTTCAACGTTCTATTCAGGAAGATTTGAGAGGAAGGACAGGTGCCGATGGACTGGAAAGAAGGACACTACATCAAGATACCAAAGAAAGATCCGAGCAAATGCGAGAACTACAGAGGCATCTTACTACTGTCAGTACCGGGAAAAGTTTTAAATAGAGTGTTGCTAAATCTGATGAAAGACTCAGTATATGCCCAACTTCGAGATCAACAGGCCAGATTCCGTAAGAACCGGTCGTGCACAGACCGAATCACCACACTACGGGTCATTGTTGAACAATCAATTGGATGGAACTCGTCACTATACTTCAACTTCCTTGATTATGAGAAAGCATTTGACAGTGTGGATAGGAGAACATTATTGAGCCTTCTTCGACACTACGGTGTACCTGAGAAGGTCGTCAACATCATACGGAATTCATGCGACGAACTACAGTGCAAAGTCGTACGTGGAGGAAAGCTGAAAGGCACATTCCAAGTGAGCCTGGAGTCAGACAAGGCTGCTTACTCTCTCCCTTTCTCCTGGTGGTCGACTGGACTATGAAGGTCTCGACATTTGAGAGAAAACGCGTAATACAATGGACAGCTCGGAATCCATTAGAAGATTTGGACTTCGCAGTGGACATGACTATTCTACCCCATGCACACGAACAAATGTAATTGAAGACAACTAGTGTAGCAGTAGGCCTCATCATGCACAAGAGGAAAAGTAAGATCCTCAAATACAACACGGGGAATGCCAAACCAGTCACACTTGGTAGAAAAACTCTGGGAGAGGTTGAAACATTAACGTATCTGGGTAGCATCATCAATGAACAAGGAGGATCTAATACAGACGTAAAGGCGAGGATTGGCAAATTAAGGGTCGTATTTCTTCAGTTGAAAAACCTAAAAGATCTATCTGTCAGCCAACATTAAAGTCAGAATCTTCAATGCGAACATCAAGACAGTCGTACTATACGGAGCTGAAACGTGGAGAACTACTACAGCCATCAAAAAGGTACGAGTGTTTATAAACAACTGTCTACGTAAGATACTCAATGTTTTTTGTTGGTCGGATACCATCAGCAACAGCCCACTGTGGGTGAGAACAAACCAGCTTCCACCCCAAAGAGGAAATTAGGGAAAGACTTTGGAAGTGGATAGGACATATATTGAGAAAATCATCAAACTGCATCACGAAGCAAGTGCTAACTTGGAATCCTGTAGGGAAACGAAAAAGAGGAAGACCAAGGAACACATTGCATCAGGAATTGGAAGCAGACATGAAAACGATTGCCCAGGACAGAGTTGGATGCAGAACGCTAGTGAGAGACCTATGGTCCTCCATGAGGGGTAACAGGCATAATTAAGTAATAACCTGCCTACTCGATGCTCAATTTATTTTAAGCTATCAAGTCCAAGCTCAGCATTGATACCAATATGGTGTTTTACTTATCATCGTCTCATATTTTTTTAAGAATGTTTTCATTGTTATAATTTCAGGGTATTTGGTTAGACCATCCCGATACTGATGAAAAAAACGGAGAGGTAACTATCAGCACAACAAACTCTAAAAAATATTGCGTTAAGAGACCGGAATTTCCTCAGTTCGAGTCTCAGTTGAAAAATATCATCCGTAAGTTAGGCGGTGTTGTATTCCCCAAGTTAAATTGGAGTGCCCCATCTGTAAGTGTTGTATTTCAACATGTTTAATTGCTACAGGATGCATCTTGGATGTCTTTCGATGGGTCACTAAAGTGCAAAACGTTTTCCGATATTTACCTACTCCTTAAGTCTTCAGATTTCGCAGCACATGACTTGACTGCTCCGTAATGTGTATATTTGTACAAACATAACAACCGACATTTTGCGTTCCTTTAGTTTCGCTCTGTGTACAGATACTCCAGGAGAGAAAAATTGCTGTCTTTTCAGTTCCAAACCGATTCTTGTTCTACGGAGGTGGTATGACTTTCGTCCCGAGGAAGAATTCCGATGTTTCATCAGATCAAACGTCCTCATTGGTAAGTTAATCGTAGTGTTACGTTCTCTTGCGTCGTTTGTCCTGTTATTTTATGAGATTTAAGTTATCATACACGCTGTAGGAGTCGTTGAGATCTGAACATATACCATAATCCTAGAAGTCAATGCGGTTCAGTAATATACGAGTATTGGATCTCATATGTTTTATACGATTCAACAGCAGATGGAGTAAGCTTTTATCGACGACAAAATACCTTTGATACTAAATGTGTATATTATTTAATTACAGTACTGTATTACTATCCTCAGGTCACAAATTAGTGTTGTCAAGTCTGAAGTTTGTGGTACAATAAACCAGTTGTTAAATGTGGCAGGTAAATGTGTTACTTTTGTCCATTTACCATCCTACCCTATTCTGTTGCACTCAAGAGCATAAATGAGTCTCCTCTTTCTCAAGACTTTATCATATTAGCCCTGAGTACATAGCCTTTATGTGGCACATAAATGAGTATTAATAAAAACACCCAACACGTAAACCTAGTTGGCAAGCATGCAGAGATCTCTCGGAGTGTAGTAAATGAGCCTCGCAGTCCTTAGCGTTCCTAATCCCCTTAGTAGTCACTTTTTGATTACTTCCATTCAGTGTTGTGTGGAATTCAGATATTCTAAGACTACGAGTGCCATTAAAACACTCCCCATTTAACGTTTACATCTTGATACAAACTAGATGACGAGCTCTAAGAAGTCTCACTATTAATATGTATTGTACTGCAGGTGCTCGCACCCGAAATTCCGAAGAAGTACTGTCAACTAATTTGGCACTTAATCCTTAGTATGTCATGTGCATTTTTTGAAGACACTATGAAATTGACATCTGGTCTTACAGGTAGCCATATTACAGTAACTGTCTTACTTGAAGGTTTTAAGTTTAACCCTGTTATTTGCTATGGCCTGCCAAAATGTCACGTGACAAAATTCCCTATCAGAACACCGACTTATATGACCTTGACCCTGTGTTAAACCAATGATGCGTTAATCAGCACGAGCAGCGTTGATTCAACTCTGAGTCCTTATTGGTCCTCCGTATAGTAACTTTTCGCCTTGCCCAGCCCGTTTAGTCCAGAACACAAATAGCGGTCTCCACTGTGTGAATCGTATATTTCAGATATACTTGGTTTATATGATCGCATATTAGACCGCATTACACCATAAAATGAAGAATAATTATACAAAACCAAGCCAAAAGTGGTTGTACGGGATACTATAACTAATAAATTGGGAATAGAGAATCGTATAACAGTAGCCAAAAGATCAAATGAAAGCTTATTATAAAAGGTGTATATATATATATATATATATATATATATATATATATATATATATATATATATATATATATATATATATATATATATATATATATAGTTCTTTTGTGAGCACTGCTTAGGAACTCCATCGTACTATAAGACAACTGTTTCATGGTTCTTTGTTTCAAACTGCTCTTTGTTTAATATCGTTCCATGCAACATGCTCCATTTCTTAGTGTTCGGTATAACAAAACTTTTACCAACTGAAATTTCAGTTTGAAACAGAAGTACAAACTTAGTCAGCCATAACTTAGGATGTGCGAACGCTGAACCTCTAGACTACTGGTCTTAGCGGCCAGCGGTGTACACGTCAGTTTACGATATTGCGCAGACATTTGTTGTTGTGAGCATGATGAAATACTATTTCAATTTTTCTTTTCCTATGTTTTCGTTTTCAATCCTCAAGCGATTTCCCAACGGAAATGTGATGCCTACTTCAAAACAATTGAAGAACAAATAGAAAACATCAAACACGACCTTGTGGAATTCTTTAATCGAAAAATAAGAAATCGTTTTAATTTAGAAAACTGTAAATTAATTTTTTTTTTAAAAGAGATATTGTTTTAATTCATTTATTAATCTAGATACAGTTGACTTATACAGAGAATCATCGGTAAGTGATTTATTTTTTCCCTAGTGTTATTCTCTTCTTTTTGACTTTTGTATAGAACGATGGTAAAATGCGTATTCAAATAATTGATTTCAATGTATTCGGTCCACCAACTGAAGCACTTTTATTTCAGTGGTCAGAATTGGAAAACGATGTACATGAAAGTGTGAGTTTAATTAATGCTAATTTGATAGTATACCTCAGTTTATCTGACAGCATAGTTGTTCAAATGCTAGCTTGACGGTTAAGGTATTCAAATACGAACCAATGGGTAGCAGGTCTAAGTCCCACCCCACATTTTTGAGTCCAGGCACTGGGGTAATATCACTATCTCTCTCACATAAAGTGCGGTTAAAGCCGAATACACAAATCTGTACTTGCTAAATGAGTAACATACTAAAGCGAAAAGTTGCAACCTAAGACTATTTCAGCGAAGTTTAAAATTCAACCCATTTCAAATTTAGCTTACTCTTACTTCATCTCCCTTCCTATGCACAACCAGCATAAGTTCACTCTTTGTCAGACTGGACAATACTCACTAATTGAGACCCGAGAACCTTGTGTACTTGGTGTGTCTTTTCTCTTCAACCCGTATACAGAACCCAAGTGACCCTAACGAAAAGATGTGGGCAATTCATACCCTCCGTCTTCCGCCTACCAGGAGACTTGTCAGTGATGTTTGACGACCTCCAAGGTGTAAATATAGCACTAAGTATGAAAAAATAACAGCCACTCCTATATTTAATTCTAGTTGACAGTTACTTGTGTGCTGATTAAATAAATGGGAAAGTAAGAACGTGGAAGCATTTTCGTTTTATTTAATACACATATATACTATTACAATAGAGTGTCAAAGCAAGTATGCTCCACACACAAAAATATTTTGGCACAACAAAAAGGAACTGTAATAATTATAAACGGTAGTGAGCATCACTAGGTGTAGCACTAAACAGTTTATTTTTCAAAAAAACGATATCAGAGAGTCAACTGTTAAAGGGAATACCAAGAAAAAAGACGCTATAGCAGTTTACTTTCAAAACATGCGACTGGAATGATAAGAGGAAAGCCTTGAAGAACCACCGTACAACAACCATCCAGTTGCCTGCTACTGATTACGAACCTAAATAGAGGACTGTCACTAGTCACCCAACTCTGGAAAATTTCATGAGCGACATAAGCAACCTAAGACGTCGGGTGGCAGTAAAACCTGGTTGGTTATTTCAGATGTTCCTAAAGATGTGGGTCTAAAGCAATCATTGGGATTAACTGAGATACTAGTCCAGATGCCTACAGTTATCTCGTCAGACTGGTGATCGTTGGCACTTTGAATCGGTAAAAAAGGATAGAAATCTTGTGATTACCATAGAGAATCCTCTGATTAAAATTTATTTTCCAAATAATGGCTTTCATAACTATCCAGCACCTAAAGAAAGCTCGATAAAGTAAACCTGAAAAGATCAAGCAGATTTTTGACTTATCACAGCTTTTACAGTTAAATAACGCTAGAGGAGCGCTATCAACAAACCACCACATTGATGTAGAGTGCTACATTTAATAAAAAATCACTTCATTATCATTTGTATTTGGTTGATAGGATACCATTCCGTTATTTCGCTACCAAAGTGACCAAAATATCCGTCCAAATTCAGTGAATCAATACAGCGTACCAATCGATTTGATCGACATTGCTTCAGGATCTGATCCCGTTAAGGTGATGGATTTCATTCAAGCTGTAAGTCCAGAAACATACAATTACTCATCTATTGTTTTTCATATAAACAGCACAAACATGAATCTTTGTCATCGATAGTGACATCCCTTATTACTGACATCAGAAATACCATTAGCTACTACTGGTATCCTCTCTAAAAGGTTATATTTCATTATCATTGCATTTTTAACATTCCTTTCATTTATCCATCATTTTAACACTAATTCTCGACGTCTTTATATTCTTAAAAGGTATCAGGATATAATGAGTTTAAAGTTGTTTTACGGCCTTGATCTGTCTACCCAGTAATATACAAGAGAGAACTTTTCTCGGCTTATGTTAAGGCATTGACAAGATAGCCTTACTGTTTTAACCTTAAGGCTAGAAATGCATGTGTGAATTAAAACTAAAGGCCTTGAGCAGAGAGTGGGAAACTACTCTATCACTTGGTTGGTTGATAAACAAGAGAGCATCGTTTGGAACACTACTCGATTTATTCCTAACTCCCGATTCAGATTAACGTGAAAGATACATTAATAAATCGATGACTAACACCACCACACCGCGCAAACAATCAGAAAAATACAAGTATATCCAAACCGGGTATTAGGGTAGAAAAATATAGTGCATTAGGCTACATTCAAATTATAATAGCTTTAGAACAGAAAAGGGTATAGCAGCAAATCGTACACCTGAAATAGCTTATGTTTCATTGAATAAACAAGGGACATTTTGGTGTCTTAAAACTCGAAATAAAGTGAAATAACGTGCCCAAAAATAGCTTCCATTGTTTGTCAAGGCTTCTTTATTTCTCTGTTCACATCACGTTGTTTAGACCAAGCAACAGACTGCATTCCCACCAAACAAAAATTCGATGAGCCTATATTTCTACTCTAGCTTTACACAAAAACGGACTAGTTTTTGGTGGAGTTTCGTTTCCTGAACTGAATAGTTTGGCTATAGGGCTTCCATTGTTCTTTTGAACATCAGCACAAACTTCGGGTAGAAGTGAAGTATTCGAACTTCACATATTACTCTCGGCTTGTCCTGTCGACATCGATCTTGACTGGATATTGTTGACCTTTAACCTATAATTATCTGCCTCTTTATTTTGATTGTATCTCCCTTTGATCTTATGTTTGGTTCAATATTTGTCCATGAGTTTTCTGACTGGTTGATATATTGGTTCGATTTCAATGTATTTGTTTATTGCTGATTGTCCTGAGTGCCAAGCTCCTAAAAATTCTCTGGTGTTTTTGGAATTGCCTCTATCCAAAATCTCCACATTTTTCCGGTCGAATGTGCATCCGCAGTTGTCCACGTGCATTGATATTAGTGAAGACATGTCATGGCGTTTGACTGCTAATTGGTGTTCATGCAGGCGAAGATGAAGGGGGTGTCCGCTTTGTCCAATGTTGTGTTTTTCGCAGTTGGCACAATTTATTTTGCAGATGATGTTTGGTTTCTCTCCTTTTGTCATTTCATCCTTTGGTTTGCATAAGATTGAAGGGAGTGATCTTGTCGGTTTGTGCGCAACATCAATCCCGAAGGTTTTCAGCAGTCTCGTTGTCGTTTCTGATATACCTTTTATGTATGGTAGGGTGGTCCTTTAATTGATTTCTGTATTTGACTTCGTTTCTGCTGATGGGTGCGGCTGGGATTTTTCGATGAAGTTGATTGGGTAGCCGTTCTTTTGAAGGACGGTCTTCAAGTATTTTTCTTCATTTTTCGTGCTGTAATTGTGTTGCAGTGTGTCCTCGCCCTCTTGAACAAGGGTTGCACGCAGTTGGTTTTGTGAGTTCTTGGGTCTTCGACGCCTTCAATGACATCAAGTTCACCATGGAACAGGAGTCAAACGACAAGCTATCATTCTTGAATATATTAATCACCAGAACCGACACAGGTAAACTGGAGACTCAAGTGTACAGGAAGCCGACCCACAGTGATCAAATTCTCAACTACAATAGCAACAATCCAAGAACTACCAAATCACTGGTCAATTCAATGAGCGAGTTTCGCTTTGATCCTGATACTGGTGTCACATTTCAATCTTGTTTCAAGCGATATGAAGATATTTCCTACATTAATTTTTCTCATCATGATCACTCTTCAAATGTGAGAATTCTACTTCGGAAACTTGGAACAGCCGAGCATGAAGTATTGAAATCTTATCTTGCCAAAAAACCCATGACTTTTCTTACGATACTACTGTATAAAAACTAACAGAGACCTTTACATCCCATACTTTATTTAACTTGCGATGTCAGTGTCTTAAAAATGTAAATAGACCTGAGGGTTATTTTGTTTTATAAGCCGCGTTTTTTTAGTAAGTAATGCGAGAGTTTTAAGTTTCGTTTACTTCTAGATGAATAATTTAAGTGCCTTATCTTTGTATGAGGATTTCAGTCATCGTCAGACTCAGATATTCGTACCAGAATTTTAAGCCGGACGGGGTCAGATCCCACCAATCTTACGTCGAAAGATATGCAAAATGAATGTCATCGTATTATTAGTCTTAAAAATGATACTAAAATAATCGGATGTCCAGATCCTAATCAAACATCCGTTGTTAACCCTAATTCATTTTACTTGATGGGAATTTCCCATTCAGACCAATGATTATTTCGAGGTTAGGGTTAAAATGTGTTGACAGCACTTTTGATGACAGTATTTCCTTACTGTTATAAAAGTTCTCTTGACATAAGGGGGAACAGTGTCATTGTCTCCTTACTCAGAAGTTCGTGTAGAAGCGCGCGGTGTCGGTGCATAGGTGGAAGGAATTGGACATGATAATTTACTAACCCCAGGAATGATCACAGTGAGTTGAAGTCAGATGGTAGTGGCTTTAGCCTTATGGTTTCTATATTTTTCAGATCAGAGCGTGTCCCGTAGCGATCAAGTAGTAATTTCACCATAGTTATAACTTTGTAACGGGAAGTTACTATGTTTAACCACTACGTAGTAAATATGATGAATAATATACGCGATGATGTTCGGTCAGTCACAACGCAGAACTACGTACGTACGTATATCAGCACAAGTTGCCATACCACATTAGCACAGAGATCCAAGTCCCATAGTGGTAAAGGTAGTAAAAGTATAAACAGTAATCGGAAAGATTAGGGCTTGAAAATGTTATTCAAGGAGTATAATCGAGTGAAATAAATTTGGAAAGAGAAAAAAGATAGAGACATGAAGAATTCAGAAGATTGAAATTTGGTAGAACACAAAGAGTGGATGCACCTTCACCATTGCAAACGGTTTTGAGCCATGTCATTCAAGGTCTCTAACCATCGGTTGCTATCGTTTCTCAGATCCTAATCACGTAGTCTACACCTACCAACATGGCTCAGTCCACTTGTCAGTGACTTCGTCAATTTGTGCCATGTTTTGGTCCGGCCGCCCTTAACTTTCTTCCAACCTACTCCTCCTACACCATAAACATCGTTCGTCGGGACAGTCGGTGGTTGGGCATACGTAACACATGTCCCAGCCATCTTAATTGATGAGGTTTCACTGATTCGTCAATTGATTTGCCATCCTTACCTAGTACCCGTTTCCTGACAACTGCATTGCTTACTCGGTGGTCCCAGGATATACGAGCAATGCTTCGATGATACCTATGATTGAATGCTAATAACCTACGAATATCCTCTACTCTTACCGGCCATGTTTCACTGCCATAAAGTAGGACGGAACGAACTGCTGCACAGTAAACCCGTCCTTTGGTTGCTAGACGGATACCTCTCCTACGCCATGGATGACGTAAGTTAGCAAAAGCTAGTCGAGCCTTCTGTATCCGTGCTGGGATTTCGTCACACACCAGATCACAAAGGCTAATGATAAGTGAAGCGGTCGACACGCCCAAGTACTTCACTCCCTATCATTAGTTCAGGTACCGGTGCAACCCAATCGTGAAGTAACATTTTGCACTTCGAGGGGGAGAGTCGCATTCCGAACATGCCTGCATTGTTGCTTATAGTGGTCAAATGACTTTGCATATCATCGGCGTATTCTAAGAGGTCTCTTCCTACGTCCAGTAAGACGCAGGCGAGTACGCGCTCCAGAAAGAGCGACAGTCTTTTATCGAGCCTCTCCATCGGTGGCTGATAGCAATGTGATCTATTTGAGTTCAACTTTGAAACGGATTCGGGGGTCTCCATGTCAAAAAATTCTTTTCTTATGCTTAAAGTTAGTATTTGCTAGAAATAGGTGGTTGTCTGAGCATAGCTGCAACAGACACACGCCATTATCTGTCCTTTTAGCCACGACACCATAAGATCCACCCATGTTTCTTTCCCTTTCGCTTAGTTTACCTACTTGAGCATTAAAATCACCAGACACTATCACTACCACGCGGTGTTGTTATGTTGATTTTATTTGGAAACTTTGTGGTTACTACCTTTTATTGGCTTTTGTCAAACAAGCAACGTCACACGTGAGGTTGTTCACCATCAACTATTAACTACTTGTGAACAAATGATCCGAAGTATAAAAGCCATATTCATGGTGTAGTGTCAACTATATAAAGTTACCCGATTGCGACTACATCCTTTTTCTTTCCTTTGGAAAAATCAAGTTGACAATATACCTATAACAAGTTGGGACTGTATCAAATGATATGCGAAGTAATCAAATAGTCCAAAGTCGTAATGACAAAGTTCTCATTTTAACAACAAATTGATAATTTACCTTTAGTGAAAATGTCTTTCATAAGATATTTACCTTATTTCACACTAAAATGCTATAATCTTTTGTTACACGTTTTGTTTTTTGTTTCATTCCACAGAGAGTAGAAAGTCAGAAACAGTCGTGAAATTGTAATTGTTCATAATGTATCTTATTTTCAAATATTTCGAATAAGAAAATACATTTTTTTTAAATCAAGCTAGTAATTATTTCTTTTTCTTCAAAGGTTTTGAAGTTTTAGTAGGCTTTTTCCTAGATGGCGACTGTTGCTTTGAACTATATTTCTGTGCAATCTTATCCAGAAAGTTTTCTGATGATTTTAGTGCATTTTCATGTCGTGCTTGAATTGCCTTAGCCAATGTATCTAAATCTCCTTCATTAACATCAACTTTCTGTTTTTTGTTTTTCTTGTTCTGTTCCTTTGCAAACAGCTTTTCTTCTTCTAGCGCTCGTTTAGCTCTTCTCGCTGCTTTCTCAGGTTTTTCATGTGTGTACTTCGTATATGCATCAATTTTACCACTAGATATCAATTTGTCAATAAGACCACGAACTCGAGTTTCATCTCGATATGACGTGAGCAATAAAGACTCCATTATAACATCCATATCACCTTTAGAACGATTGTAGATTCTGATTAAATCTTCCGTTTCCTGTTCACTTCCTTTATACTTTTTACAGTAGTCATCTATTAGTTTAGTTGTGACTTTCGGGAACAAAAGTTGCCAGTATTTAACCCAATCATCAAATGATTTGCCTGTAATCTCATCGTCTTCATCGATAACACCTAAAAATTAGGATTATTCCATTTAAGTTTTGCTAATCGAGAACTAACCTGTCTCATCATAGACTTTACGTTTCTCGTCATCTTCCATGTACGAATAGACTCTAGATAGCACTTGAAAACGTTTTGTCGCCTCTGACTTTGAATCATTGTCATGGCGATCAGGATGATGAAGTAAAGACAATTTGTAAAAAGCTTTACGAACTATAAAAAGATGACATATTTCATATTGTATATTTACGTTCAGTTTTTTCACACTTCTTAGTCACTCCTAAGACTTCATATAAGTTCTTCGTGTGAAAGTATTTAACGCAATCTTTTAGCAAACTTGACGCCATGTGGCCTCAAAAGTCTAAAAAAATATGAGAATTTTGAGTGCACAACTAAGCGAAAATACATACGACTGTATATGGCAATCAAAATATATTTCAGGAAGTGTCTAATGATTAAAAAATTTTAACATTTGACTCGTGTTTCCCCGTACTCTTGTCTAGCAAGCAGTCTCAAGAGGTATTAGTGAATAGAAAAGTTGTCAAACATTTGCTTGAAATTTACGTCTTCTATCAATTATCATACATATAGAGTGTCGTACAATATGAATCCGCCCTAAAATCATGCTTTATTCCATTTATCACCAACCTCTTAGTTTTTTTACAATGCAGTTTTGAATCCTCTTTTTGCTTTAAGCGTCATATATGACAATTTCGAGTGACGAAATGAAAAATCTATTATTAAATTAACCATACTTAGAATGTCTATAGTAAAACTGAAAAGTTAATAAATACACGAATTCAGAGGTGAAGCATTGACTCCTAGATAGTCATTGTTATTCGGATGACTATAACAATAACAGTTCATGACACAGAACACTAACTTCTTATGAAAAATGTCTACTTAAGAACTCATCAAATGGAGAATGCTAGTTACATTAGATATTTTAAGTTTGGTTTGAATGTCGGTAAGTTTATCAGCCAAATATATTCTACGCAAGAAGGCGCGAGATTCCTTAGGAATGGTGCTGGTGAGATTGCTCTCAGAATGCAGTATATCAGGCAGTATTCTTACATTCCCATCTAATTTCAGTAAATGACTAGGCAGTAAAACATCCTCTACGTCGGTAGCCTTTGTGAGCACTACGCGAAGTAGCCTTGAGTGGTTTTGATGCTTGGAGTCCTTTCCTCGAGTGAGCCATGTGACCATCGGAGGCTCTATATTGGGAAGTTCGAACTTTCTGTTTGACTCTTCTTAGAGCATTCTGTCATTTTTGTTCTGCCGATTGAGGGAGAAGGTCGGAGCTGTCTTTAAGGTTCATGTTTATAAGGAAATCATCGCGAACTGTGATCGTCTTCTCAGGTTTCCGGGTACGTTCAAGATGAAACTTTTTGTTTGGTAAATGAAGCGCGTTCCAGATTCTCTGATAACTGGCTGTAGTCTTGGGAGTAAACTGTACAGCCAGATCACCACTTGATTTCACTATAATACCTGAATTGTTCAGCTTTATAGACAGTGGCACCCGGTCATTTTTGATGGGGGTCCGACCGCGCACAGGAATTTTGGGGACCACTGTTGCATTCAGGGATCCTGTGCTAGAAGACCCAAGTTTGCTGAGGGAGTCTAGTGTTGTCGATGTTATAATGGTGCTAAGCTTCAGCATGTCCTCACTGGTATCGATGCATGTCCCGTCTATACTAGCATTTTTGAGGTCCCTCTTTACTTCACTGCGTGTCATTGCCTGTCTACTCGTTTTAGGACTACCTTTTTCAGGTTTACTGGCAACTCCTTCCACAGACCTGCCAGGAGAATGATGATAGTGCTCAGCATCGATGTTTCACGTGCCTTAGACCCACCTACGACCCGACTTATTACATGTGTCGTAAGCGGTTACTGTAGGATCTGTGAATGCATCGTGGAACCAAAATTTGCTTTTGTCACACTGCATGCCAGAGGTGACAGCTAAGCGACATCCTGGTCGTCTAAAAGAATTCTTTATGACTATGGTGATGTGAAATTTTTTATACATTAGGGCGAAAAATAGACAATTTAGCGACATTTGAAACAGAGCGCTTTATTTCCCCCGTACATGCGAATAAGCAGACATTTTGTCGCATTTCCGCATTATTTTCCCCCTATTTTCCAATGTATTTTCCCTTTTATTGATTCTTTGGGTAGATCCTAAGAAAAGTCTACAACCGTAAGCGAAGAAAAACAGCACGTGCTATCTCAGTTTCAGTTTGGAAAGGACAGGAGGCTTGATGGCCTGTGTTAGTCCTGGCAATGATGGTCTCTCAGCTGATCCAACTTTCTTTTGAAGGAGTCGACGGATGGAGCCTCAACCACGTGCTGAGGTAATGAATTCCACTCGTTGATTATTCGATGGGAAAGTCGGTAGTCAGCTGCCAAGTAATTCGTTCTGGGCTTGCGAACTTTTCTGGAGTGTCCTCGTAGATTTTTACAAATTCTGCCTGGATTTTTCGGATTTTCGTTGGTTTATGTTTTCAATGTAAACTCAAAACAAAATAGATTTTTAAAAACAGCTGATGCAAAAGGTTAGGGTATACGAAAACTAGCTTTAACGCGAAAAAATTAAAAGCCGAATGGTAAGCTGATCAGCCTACCTTGAGGCAAAACCAAAGTCAAATATTAACTTGAATATAACTTAAGAAAAGTAATCTACCGAAGGTTAAGCTCAGGAAGAATTCTTTGGATCAAAGATAGTGTTTTTTTCCTGCGTAAGGACACAGTAAAAGTTTAGGAAATGCATATCACGTTACGGCTAAACTCCCCGTCTCAAACGCACGAAGTAACGTACGTATCAAATAGCCACAAATGTAGGATATTCAAATTATTATAAATAAACAATGTAAATGCAGATGCTATTGCTTATACAGAATTACACCAAGATTGTAGACAGAGTTTTTCACTGGAAAAACCACTAAATATAAATGTCAATATACTCGTTTTACACCACTTTTGTGATTCCATGGATGAGTTAGTTCCAGTGCTTCGAAACACTCCTGACAGTTGGTTTTCTTTTTTGAAAAAGGATGGTTGTTTTTACGATACTTCTGAACTTCAATATAAATAATATTGTATAAGAAGTCGACGTTCTCTTCACATCAGCTTAAGTGAACACAATAATTGAAGAGTTCTGAAGTGGCAGTTTCCAGCAGCTTTTAATGTTCAGCTAGTGAATCGCTCATAAGTAATTGTTTATCTAGATGGAAATTATGACAAGTATACACATTTACTTTGGCAACTAATATAAACCATAACTGGCCTGAAAATAACAGTCAGCAATCGCTAAATGCCGGACTCTGAAAGGTTCCTATCATGTCATATCGCTTGTCATATATTGACATCGTCAGTTGGAAAGATAAAACACCCACGGATTACGTGTCCATATGAACACAACAGCAGGATGTGCCCTATTTTCGATATGCCTGTATGTCGTAGTGGATTCTGTTTCGTTCTAAAATCTGTTACCGTTACGTTATGATTTTGTTAAAACTCTGATGCGCCAATGTGAAAATATTTTACTAGCTATACAAAGGTCGTTGTAAGAAAATGACGACTTTGTTCATATTAACAGCCAGGTCCTCCAGTAAATTTTTCAGCGTCATTTAGAAATTGTGGGTTGAAATTCCAAAGATAGTCGACGTTTCATTATCTCATGTAAGGGAATGGACGCGTTTTCAAAAACCACGAACAAATGTAGTGATCATTTTTTAGAAAATTTCAGCTCCGCAAAACTTTGGAGGTCCTTTATAACCTTCGCCCAAATTTTTAGTTAAATTACGAAAAGTGATCAGTTTTACCACACATTTAGGAGCTTAGGTTGTCTATGTTAACGTTTCCAGTTAGCTTATTGGTGTATCAAAAACTATCGATGAGTTTTGCGCCACTTTATGAAAACATGGGGAAATATACCGGGAAATTACATGTCAGCATTAATGTCGATCACCTACAGAACTATTGATTTCTGTGGTTTGTTTACCGCTACAGCCTTCCGAGTAGCAGTTAAATTGCTTTGTATCCAAGTTATTTCAATAGCTTGCAATTAACTTTGTACCATCAGGGTTTGTTGACTTGCACTCTTACTCACTAATAACGTACGTCAAAATGAACTAGTGTCATGCTTCGTACTTATTACCCTTGCTAAAACTGGTTTCAAGTTAGTATAATTGATCTTTAGGGACCAAGTTACGGAAAAACCGGCTTGTTACGATTAATAGATTTCCAACTTCCTGGGTTGAAATTTTTAATATAGAAATTTCATCTTAAGACGGAACCACATTATTGCGGTACATCATATGATTTTGTTATGTTGTAGTGACCTAATTTTTATGACATTGGCACGGACTAGCATCCGAGACAACTACATAGTTGCCTCACAATCACGTTCAAACGTCGACCTCAATGCTAGTCGACCTACATTTCATCGGGATAAGGATAAATGTATTCACACCCGTCTCAGTTTCCGAGACCAATCCAATGTGCCAGAAACATACGTCCCCCAACCCAGGTCACGCTCTCGTAAAGCCCTGACAACGGGCATCCTTCACGCCAAAAAGCCGTTTCGGAAGCGAGTCCGGGTTGGTGGTGGTTTCACTGTGCCTTCGGGGCCGGTGCCCGTCATTGCCGAGCTCCATGCTAATAGATGGCGGGAAACTCCCGAGTCGGCGAGTAAGTGCGGCCGTACTCGCCGGCCCTTCACCTCAGGCTGGTCGTTTATTTTACATGCACGGTTATCGCATTAACGGTAGGTACCTAGTAGATACAGGTGCTCAAGTTTGTGTCGTACCTGTTGATAACAGTAAGTCTCAAGCTTTCGTGCTTCGACTACGCGCTACCTATGGTACACGACAACTTACGGTGAGCCTGAGCAACCAACGACAGTCTCCGTGGACGTTCATCATTGCGGATGTTCCCACGGCCATACTTGGTATCGTTTTCCTATAGCATTATGAATTGCTAGTCAGTTCATGTAGGCTGCCGTTAATCGGTACTTCATCGAACAGTAGATTAATGGGCTTTAAAGCTCACACAAACGCGTACCGAATCATTTGCGTGACGATTTATTCCACGCTTTATTTCAGAAATTTTCCGAATTAACTAAACCTCTCGAGGAGACTCCATCGGCGACCAATCGTGTGGTACACCACACCACGGACCCCCGTCACGGCAAAACCTCGCCGACTGGCACCGGACAAATTAGCTTTTGCTAAACGTGAGCTTGATAATTTACTGGCTACTGGTATTATTCGTCTCTCTCACAGTCCCTTGGCCTCGCCTCTCCACATGGTACGAAGAAAGGATGGGGTTAGTTGGGAACCATGTGGAGACTACCAAGCATTAAACGTAGTTACGCGTTTCGACAGCTATCCCATCCTTCATATACATGACATCACGGCATCACTCAAGGGCACGACTATCTTTTCCAAGATCGATCTGGTACGAGCATATCACCATATCCCAGTCGCTCTTGAAGACATCGAGAAAATCGCTATCACGACTCATTTCGGTCTGTTTGATTTCCTACGAATGCCATTTGGATTAAGGAATTCTGCTCAAACTTTCCAAAGGTTTATAGATAGCATAGTACGAGACCTAGATTTTGTTCACGTCTATATTGATGACCTACTAATCAAACGTAGATGAACATTATCAACAGTCCTGATATTTGAGAATAAATTATTATTATTATTAGCATATCTCCAGGAGTTGGCAGCCTCTAGAATTTTTCTCATGACGCCTCACTCCCACGAAGACGAGATATAGCGCTTTCGGTCGAGAGCTGCTAGTAGCCTACTGCGCCAACATACATTTCCGGCACGCGGTAGAAGGTCGCAATTTCATCCTATTAACCGACCATAAGCCCTTAACGTATGCTATGCATACCAAGTCTGACCGCCACTCACCACGAGAGTGCAGACATTTGGACTATATCCCTCAGTTCACGACAGACCTTCGTCACGTCAAAGGCGAGTCGAACTATGTTGCAGATGCTCTGTCACGTATCCAAGTGAACGCAGTTAATTTGCCGATTCTTGATCTCACGGCTATACCATCGCCCAAGCAAGCGATCCCTCCTACACAGAAGAACAGCATTCTACATCCCTTCAGTGCCGAGAAGTACCTCAAGTTAGTAGCTCAGGTACTATCCTATGTGATATTTCTAGTGGTCTTCCCGGACCCATCGCACTATCTCCTTATCATCGTCTTGTCATCGATGCCCTGTATGGACTGTCGCGGCCACACTATTACTCATCGCTGCGCGATACGTCTGGCCGTTCATGAATAAAGACGTTCGTATATGGGTGAAGCAGTGCCTACAACGTCAACGATCAAAAGTGCACAGGCATGTAGCTACCACCATTGCCACGTTCGCTACGCCTGATGCTCGCTTCGATCACGTTCATATAGATATTGTAGGGCCATTGCCACCACCGCACTGGCATTATTACATACTCACGTGCATCAATCGTTCCATAGGATGGCCCAAAGCTATTCCCATTACGTTTATTAAGGTGGAGACAGTTGCTCGCCGCTTCGTAGAATGATGGATAGTGCTGTACGGTTGCCCTTCGACTGTCACGACTGACCAAGGACAACGATTCGAGTCCGAATTATTCTCCTCGCTGACCCGGCTGCTTGGTACGGGACGCGTACTCACTACCTCCCACCACCCAGCATCAAATGGTTTTGTCGAACGGTTTCACCGCCAACTTAAAAGTGCACTTCGATCACACAAAAACAAAAATTGGCTCAAAACCCTACCTCTCATCCTCTTAGGCATCATAACGAGCTTAATAGAAGATATTCAATGTTCTGCCGCTGGACTTGTATACGGTACGACATTGCCTCTGCCTGGGGAATTTTTCACACCACAGAGTATTAACACTTTTAGTAAATAAGACTACATCCAACGACTGTCTGCATTTATACGAACACTGCCTCCGGTGTCAACTAGTATACGACATCGCTCTCCCTCGAGCTTTATCTACCTGTTCACATGTTTTCATACGAGTAGATTCGGCATGCAAACCTTTGCAAAAGCCTTACGAAGGACCTTTTCAAGTGGTGTTTTGTCACGAAAAGACCTTCAAGGTTCATCGATATGGCCGCGTCGAAATGGTCAGCGTTGATCGTCTCAAGCCAGCACACGTCGATGACAGTGCCCTGCCCGATAGGCCGAGACTCAGTGCTAGACTGGCCAAACATTCTAGCGGGATCTCTACATCTACTTCGGATCCCACAATAGATACA